GGCAAGCAATTTGCTTCAGTCTGAGGATGCCGAGACATTGTAAGACTAAAATTACTAGGATGGTTCTTGGATTCTAATGGGCTTTATCTTTGCAAAGTGCAGTCGCTCACGGCTGATAGGCTGAACTCTAACGTCTATATTGCACCTGCAGCAGGGAAGTCTCTGTTGAGCTGCTACAGAATGTCCATGAATATCCCAACTGCTCAGGGAACAAGCTGCTGGAAACAACACATGCGCTAAAATGAATTGCAGTCCAGCCTCTGTGAAGGAAGGGACAGTTGTTCGCTTGATTGGGATTAAAGCCTCACATGGACTCTGTGGAAGAAAGAGCAGTTTGTAGAAGGCTAACAAAAATGGAAAGTTACTGGGAGAATGATTAACGAGAGATAGTTTGGCAGGGGAAAAAGGTTTATCAAATGATATATGACTATAAGAAGCAGCCTTATATGGGGTCAGATCACCAATCTGTCTGGCCTAGTATATCTCCCCAGCTGGCAGTGACCTCTCAAAGGTCCCAGACAGTGGTGTTTTCCAACTTGGCCACTCACTTGAACTGCAGATACCAGGGACTGAGCACGGGCCCTTTTATGTGCAATACTAATGCTCTTTTGTCGAAATTAAATCGTGGGTGGCCCGAGGGCTACTTGCACCCAATGTCAATGGTTCTGGAGGCCACATCCCAGTGATAGGTGCGGCTAACAGTGGGCGTGGCCACCACCACACTCTTTGCATGCACAGAGACACACAGCCCCTCTTCCTCAGCTGTTCCAAGCAGATCATTTGTGGAGAGGGTGCTATCAGTTCCCTTCCTTCTCATCATCAAATGACCAATCCGCTGACCAGGTAAGGGGTCATTTGGATCTGTATCAGTCTGCGATGCTATCTTTTATTTTTTGCTTCTGCTGCCAAAATCAATTCTGGCAGAGGGGTGGAAAGACAAACGCATCGCCCTTGCCTATTTTCAAGTATAAGGATAGGGTCCTGTTCAGCTGCTTGAAAGCAGGAGCACATGTAACCTACAGGTAAGTTTCTGGGAAGCAGAGCGGGACCTGTATAATAAATAAGTAAATTGCCAAGCAATCCTGCCAGCGCTTCGGCATGTATTGAACTCTGCATGGATCTAGCCAGCTGACTTTCATCCACCACTTTCAGCTTCTCTTCCATTTGTCCTGTCCCATTATTTCCTTAGCATAACCATTCTGTGTCTCAGATGTGCTTTAATCCAGATTGCAGCAGGGAAGATGGTCCCCGAGTGGTTTATTTCCGCAGATCACATGGCTTTCCTTAGAGATTTTCCATCCATTTCCCCCAACATGACTGCTTAGCCATAATGAGAATGCCAAAGTGGCAGATAGACCGGCCTGCTTGATGCCTCTTAAAAATCAGCCCTGCAGGATGCAGCTTTTGGTGCTTTGCAGGGAAATTGGAAAGTTCCTGCGCTTTGGGCTGTGACTTGCATCAACTTCATGGTGTCTACATTCTGACTGGCCATTATGTGAAAGCAAGGAAAGGTGGTTTTGAATTGCCATATTTATCAGTTCTAAAAGAATTCTCCTTTTGCTTTTTATTCTAGTTTTTTTTTTTTTGTATTTCCCCCCCCTCATTCTTTCTCGCACACACAAACACTTCTGCCTGCTCTTGTTATTGCTGTTGTTATATGCGTGTCTGTTTCATTGTCTGTGATGCACCGGAAGGAAAGAAAAAATGAGTTTTTGGGGAGCTGGATAGATAAGAGCAAAGGGTTGTATCAGAACATCTACCCAGAGTAGATCCATTGAAATTAAAGGGCCTATGTTAGCTATGCCTATTGATTTTCATGGGTCTACATTGAGTAGGGCTAGCACTGAATACAACACAAGTTCTCCTCTTGTGGACAATATTTATCTCATTATCCTTACTTACTCATTTTATGGAATGTGCACTCTGCTTTTTGAGTCATGACTTCTTGAACAACTGGTAATGCATATTTGGTTCCATTTTCTATGCACAGTTACTGGGAGTGGGGTTTATGTTATTCAGTACAGTCGTACCTTGGATCCCGAATGCCTTGCGAGTCAAACGTTTTGGCTCCTGAACACCGCAAACCTGGAAGTGAGTGTTCCGATTTGCAAACGTTTTTTGGAACCTGAATGTCCGACGTGACTTCTGCCACTTCTGATTGGCTGCAGGATCTTCCTGCAGCCAATCAGAAGCTGTGCCTTGGTTTCCGAACGTTTTGGAAGTCGAACAGACTTCTGGAATGGATTCCATTCAACTTCCGAGGTACCACTGCATTACTATTATAATTATTATTGGATTTTATTCAATATAAAGAACATAACAAACCATATAGGATCAGTATACAAAGTACTGCCCCCCCCGAACCCAACCAGCAACGTTACCAGAACAAACACCATAATAATTTCCTCATACTGATTTTACAGTATGATCGCTGCTGCTGCACCGTGTTGGGGAAGGCCGCTCCCTCTTCAGGCTGATTCCACCTGGCCTAGGGGGCGGGGCCCAGACTCACCTTCGCCACAGCTTTAAGAAGCCTCACTGAGGCATTGGGACATCGCTGCTGCTGCACCGTGAGTGTTGGGGAAGGCCGCTCCCTCTTCAGGCTGATTCCACCAGGCCTAGGGGCGGGGCCCAGACTCACCTACGCCACAGCTTTAAGAAGCCTCACTGAGGCATTGGGACATCGCTGCTGCTGCACCGTGAGTGTGGGGAAGGCCGCTCCCTCTTCAGGCTGATTCCACCAGGCCTAGGGGGCGGGGCCCAGACTCACCTTCGCCACAGCTTTAAGAAGCCTCACTGAGGCATTGGGACATCGCTGCTGCTGCACCGTGAGTGTTGGGGAAGGCCGCTCCCTCTTCAGGCTGATTCCACCAGGCCTAGGGGCGGGGCCCAGACTCACCTTCGCCACAGCTTTAAGAAGCCTCACTGAGGCATTGGGACATCGCTGCTGCTGCACCGTGAGTGTTGGGGAAGGCCGCTCCCTCTTCAGGCTGATTCCACCAGGCCTAGGGGCGGGGCCCAGACTCACCTTCGCCACAGCTTTAAGAAGCCTCACTGAGGCATTGGGACATCGCTGCTGCTGCACCGTGAGTGTTGGGGAAGGCCGCTCCCTCTTCAGGCTGATTCCACCTGGCCTAGGGGCGGGGCCCAGACTCACCTTCGCCACAGCTTTAAGAAGCCTCACTGAGGCATTGGGACATCGCTGCTGCTGCACCGTGAGTGTTGGGGAAGGCCGCTCCCTCTTCAGGCTGATTCCACCAGGCCTAGGGGCGGGGCCCAGACTCACCTTCGCCACAGCTTTAAGAAGCCTCACTGAGGCATTGGGACATCGCTGCTGCTGCACCGTGAGTGTTGGGGAAGGCCGCTCCTCTTCAGGCTGATTCCACCAGGCTTAGGGGCGGGGCCCAGACTCACCTTCGCCACAGCTTTAAGAAGCCTCACTGAGGCATTGGGACATCGCTGCTGCTGCACCGTGAGTGTTGGGGAAGGCCGCTCCCTCTTCAGGCTGATTCCACCTGGCCTAGGGGCGGGGCCCAGACTCACCTTCGCCACAGCTTTAAGAAGCCTCACTGAGGCATTGGGACATCGCTGCTGCTGCACCGTGAGTGTTGGGGAAGGCCGCTCCCTCTTCAGGCTGATTCCACCAGGCCTAGGGGCGGGGCCCAGACTCACCTTCGCCACAGCTTTAAGAAGCCTCACTGAGGCACTGGGACATCGCTGCTGCTGCACCGTGAGTGTTGGGGAAGGCCGCTCCCTCTTCAGGCTGATTCCACCTGGCCTAGGGGCGGGGCCCAGACTCACCTTCGCCACAGCTTTAAGAAGCCTCACTGAGGCACTGGGACATCGCTGCTGCTGCACCGTGAGTGTTGGGGAAGGCCGCTCCTCTTCAGGCTGATTCCACCTGGCCTAGGGGCGGGGCCCAGACTCACCTTCGCCACAGCTTTAAGAAGCCTCACTGAGGCATTGGGACATCGCTGCTGCTGCACCGTGAGTGTTGGGGAAGGCCGCTCCCTCTTCAGGCTGATTCCACCAGGCCTAGGGGCGGGGCCCAGACTCACCTTCGCCACAGCTTTAAGAAGCCTCACTGAGGCACTGGGACATCGCTGCTGCTGCACCGTGAGTGTTGGGGAAGGCCGCTCCCTCTTCAGGCTGATTCCACCAGGCCTAGGGGCGGGGCCCAGACTCACCTTCGCCACAGCTTTAAGAAGCCTCACTGAGGCACTGGGACATCGCTGCTGCTGCACCGTGAGTGTTGGGGAAGGCCGCTCCCTCTTCAGGCTGATTCCACCAGGCCTAGGGGCGGGGCCCAGACTCACCTTCGCCACAGCTTTAAGAAGCCTCACTGAGGCATTGGGACATCGCTGCTGCTGCACCGTGAGTGTTGGGGAAGGCCGCTCCCTCTTCAGGCTGATTCCACCAGGCCTAGGGGCGGGGCCCAGACTCACCTTCGCCACAGCTTTAAGAAGCCTCACTGAGGCACTGGGACATCGCTGCTGCTGCACCGTGAGTGTTGGGGAAGGCCGCTCCCTCTTCAGGCTGATTCCACCTGGCCTAGGGGGCGGGGCCCAGACTCACCTTCGCCACAGCTTTAAGAAGCCTCACTGAGGCATTGGGACATCGCTGCTGCTGCACCGTGAGTGTTGGGGAAGGCCGCTCCCTCTTCAGGCTGATTCCACCAGGCCTAGGGGCGGGGCCCAGACTCACCTTCGCCACAGCTTTAAGAAGCCTCACTGAGGCACTGGGACATCGCTGCTGCTGCACCGTGAGTGTTGGGGAAGGCCGCTCCCTCTTCAGGCTGATTCCACCTGGCCTAGGGGCGGGGCCCAGACTCACCTTCGCCACAGCTTTAAGAAGCCTCACTGAGGCATTGGGACATCGCTGCTGCTGCACCGTGAGTGTTGGGGAAGGCCGCTCCCTCTTCAGGCTGATTCCACCAGGCCTAGGGGCGGGGCCCAGACTCACCTTCGCCACAGCTTTAAGAAGCCTCACTGAGGCATTGGGACATCGCTGCTGCTGCACCGTGAGTGTTGGGGAAGGCCGCTCCCTCTTCAGGCTGATTCCACCAGGCCTAGGGGGCGGGGCCCAGACTCACCTCCGCTACAGTTTTAAGGACACTGGTGCTGCCGCAGCAATTGTTAAAAATGTTTTTATATATTTTAAAGTATTTTAAAGGTGTTTTTACTTCTTACGTTATTGTACCACCGTGAACAGTGGTTTTTATCTATGTATTTTTATTTTGTTCTGTTTTATTGTGGTTTGGGGTGGGGATTGGTTTTGCTTAGGTAGAATTGTTTTCAGTTTGGTTTGGTTTTCTATTTTGTAAATGGAGGCTTGTATGAGGCTTGGGATTGCTACTGTGGAGTGGCGAGGGAGGTATGGTGGTGGGGGCAGATGTTATAGGCGAAGGGGATCGAGATACGGATATGCTCGTACCCCTTCCAATCTGCGCCCCATCCCGAGGGACGAGGGTAGGGTGAGCAAGGATTACTCACCTCCGTCACTGGTGTTGTGCAATGCCAGGTCTATAGGCAACAAAACCGCCACTCTGCGAGATTTCTTTACCTCGCAGGGGTTGACCTGGCTTGTGTGACGGAGACCTGGGTACGCGAAGGGGCAACAGTTACCTTACGAGAGATGGCGCCCCGGGTTTCTCCGTCCTCCACCAGTCACGGACTGTGGGCCGGGGGAGGGGTGGCATTATTAATCCGGGAAGATTGTCCTTTCAGGGCTCTACCATCGCCATCGATCCCCGGCATTGAATGTGTTGGCCTAGTGTGGGGCTCTGAGGTGAGCTTGGCTGTCTGGCTGGTGTACCGGCCACCTAGCGCACCAGCAGCCACCCTGTCAGGCCTACTGGAGGCGGTGGCCGGCTGGGCCTTGGAGTTCCCTAACCTATTGGTATTGGGGGACTTCAACATCCATGCTGATGCCACTCCCTCCTCACAGGCTCTGGACCTGGTGTCTTCCATGGCAACACTAGGGCTCTCCCAGTTTGTTTCAGGCCCCACACATCAAGCAGGCCACACGCTGGATTTGATCTTTGGCGTAGGTATAGATGTGATCATGTCTCCTTCAATTAAGGTGCCATGGTCTGATCACTACGCTCTGAAAGCCAGGATTGACTTTCCACCCCCACCCTGCTTAGGTGGCGAGCCGATTTGGGCTCGCCCGCAGAGGCTGATGGACCCTGATAGATTCCGTCAAGCCTTGCGGGACCTTGCTCCCCCTGGCGACTCATTGACTGAGCTTGTTGAGGGCTGGAATACCCAGCTCCTGGCAGCCATAGATGAGATCGCACCTAAGCGCCCTCTGCGACTCCGCAGAAACCGGGCTCCCTGGTTTACCGAGGAGCTTCGGAAAATGAAGCGGGACCTCAGACGGCTAGAGCGAGTATGGCGGGGTGCCCGTGACGGAGCCTCAAGAACATCTTATAGGGTTTTTATGAAAACCTATGAGATGGCGGTGAAGGCCGCTAAGAAGTCTTACTTCTCGGCCTCCATTGCATCCGCTAGCTCTCGCCCGGCGCAATTATTTAGTATAATTAGGTCTTTAACGTCCCTTGAAGGACAGCCAAATTTAAATAACAATCTGACACACAGCTGTGAGGCATTTGCGAGCTTTTTGCGGAGAAGGTCCTGTTGCTCCGCCATGACCTCCCTGCCAATTTGGATACAATAAAGGAACTGGAGGCCCCTCGACTGTCCTCGGGTCCAGTATTGGACCACTTTGATCGGATATCCCCAGCCGATGTGGACAGACTCCTCCGAGCTGGAAAGCCCACCACCTGTCCTCTTGACCCGTGCCCGTCTTGGCTGATTAGAGCGTGTCCAGACGAGGTGCGGGCCCCTGGGAGATATCATCAATTTGTCCCTTGGCACCGGGATATTTCCAGGGGAATTGAAGGAGGCAGTGGTGCGCCCGCTCTTAAAGAAAACATCATTAGATCCCTTAGATCTATCCAATTACCGCCCGGTTTCGAATCTTCCATTCCTGGGTAAGGTGATTGAGAGAGCGGTTGCTGAACAGCTTGGTAGGTTTCTGGATGAAACATCGGCTCTGGATCCATTCCAGTCTGGCTTCCGCGCTGGTCATGGGACCGAGACGGCTCTGGTCGCCCTAACAGATGATCTCCGCAGGCAGCTGGATCGAGGCGGGTCGGGGCTGCTGATTCTTCTAGACCTGTCAGCAGCCTTCGACATGGTTGATCACGAACTCCTGGACCACCGCCTTGCCGACGTGGGGATCCAGGGCACAGTCCTTCAATGGCTGCGCTCGTTTCTCTCCGGTCGGGGACAGAGGGTGGCGCTTGGGGGGGAATTGTCATCCCGCCACTCCTTGGTGTGTGGAGTGCCTCAGGGTGCGATACTCTCCCCGATGCTTTTTAACATCTTTATGCGCCCCCTCGCCCAGCTTGTCCGGAGTTTTGGGCTGGGTTGCCATCAGTATGCCGATGACACCCAACTCTATCTGTTGATGGATGGCCATCCTGACTCGGCCCCAGACACACTGACCAGATGTTTGGAAGCTGTGGCTGGATGGTTACGCGGAAGCCGGTTGAAGTTAAATCCTTCGAAGACAGAGGTCCTCTGGCTGGGACGGGACGATATGGGATTGGGGGGGCAACTCCCATCTCTTGCGAGGGTGCAATTAGTGCCAGCACCGTCCGTTAAGAGTTTGGGTGTAATCTTCGATACCTCCCTCTCTATGGAGGCGCAGATTACAGCTATAACAAAGGCGGCATTTTTCATCTCCGCCAAGCTAAGCAGTTGGCCCCTTATCTCTCTCGCCCTGACCTAGCCACTGTGATCCACGCGACGGTCACCTCCAGACTGGATTATTGTAACTCGCTCTACGTGGGGCTGCCCTTGAGACTGACCCAGAAACTCCAGCGGGTGCAGAATGCCGCAGCGAGACTCCTTATGGGGTCTTCGCTGCGAGATCACATTCATCCGGTACTATACCAGCTGCACTGGCTCCCGGTGGAGTACAGGATCAGGTTTAAGGTGCTGGTTTTAACCTTTAAAGCCCTATACGGCCTAGGACCCTCGTACCTACGGGACCGCCTCTCCTGGTATGCCCCACAGAGGAACCTACGGTCTGCAAATAAAAACATCCTGAAGGTCCCAGGCCTCAGAGAGGTTAGGCTGGCCTCAACTAGAGCCAGGGCTTTCTCGGCTGCGGCTCCAATCTGGTGGAACGCTCTGTCACAAGAGACTAGGGCCCTGCGGGACCTGACATCTTTCCGCAGGGCCTGCAAGACAGAGTTGTTCCACCAGGCCTTTGGTCAGGGCCCAGCCTGACTCCCACCTCCGGCAACCTGCACAGAACTTTGCTTAACGGTTGCCATTAATTTGATTTTAATTAATTTTATAATGAAATGTTTTAGAATGTTGGATTATTTGATTGTTTGATTATTTGTTTGTTGTTAGCCGCCCTGAGCCTGGCTTTGGCTGGGGAGGGCGGGATATAAATAAAATTTATTATTATTATTATTATTATTATTACAGCTTGGCATGCAAAGCACATTGTCTGGGTTGAACATCAAATAGTGGTCCAGGAGCAAGAAGAAAGCTGCCTCCAGCCAAAGAGGAGAAATAGTCTATGTGTGTGATAGCCAGATCTGTAATGCTGCTGCAGATAAACTGAGGAAGGAGTTATGTGTGTAGATTGGGAGGTGGAAGATTTTCCCGTATTGCTGGACTCACCACTGGCAGATTCTATTTTTGTCAGCTATATGTACGATAGGCTGCCATCAGTCAGACTGAATCTCTTGACAAACCCTACGCTTTCCAGCTGCTTGAGAGAAGGGGTTCTAAGCCTTACATGCTAAGACCTATGCCTTTTGAAGGATGCTTGCATTTTGGTCCACACATTGTTTCAGAAAACATGAATTAGGTATGTTTGCCTTTAAAACTGAACCGAATCAAACTTCTTCCCCACCCGTTTACACACCTAAACCAGTCATTTATCTGTCTAGCTCACTGTTGTCTATGCCAACTGGGATAATCTCTCCCAGTCCTACCTGGGTACTGAATCTAAGATGCTCTGTATGCAGAGTAGGCTTTCTGCAGAAGGTCATGGGAAGTAAGATGCATGGATGCCTACAAGCCCCACAAAGCCATCCAGTTACACAGGTGATTGCCAGGAAACAAGCTGGGCTGGTTTTCAACTTTTGCTCTTGTCGAGACAGCTCTTCTGCAAAATAACAAACTAGCTATGATGTTTTGCATTGTGTGATTGTTGCCAGCTTGTAATAGCGTGAAGAAAGCAACTTACCTGCCCAAGTGTCAACAACCCAATGGGTTAAAGGCACTGAAAATTTGAGGATTTCTCCCAACTCTGCTCTGGGAAAGCTTCAAGAAAGCTGCCCGCCTGCCCACCTGCTACTTATCTGGCCAGTGCTACGAATAAATCAATAATCATTTCTGGCTTTTCACTTGGATATTTTGAGACAGCCTTTGAGCTGTCTCGCTTCCACTCAGTATACCAACCGCTTGCTGCGTACATGGATCTTCTCAGCTTGGAGCCTGCCTGCATCTTAGATTCTCCTCCTCCTCACATCCAGAAAGGCAAACCAGTCTCTCCTCACTCAGCATGACCGACCAGATTTTCAGCAGATGTCAACACAGCAGAGTTCCGACTTGCAGTTGTGGCGCAATTTATCTAATTAATGGAAGTTTCTTTTCTCCAGCCTGGATGTGAAAGCATTGCATTGAGCATGGGTTGTCCTAATTGCGAAACAAAGGAGGAGATTGAGAGCCAGTGTGGTGTAGTGGTTAAGAGCGGTAGACTCATAATCTGGTGAACCGGGTTCGCTTCCCTGCCCCTCCACATGCAGCTGCTGGGTGACCTTGGGCTAGTCACACTTCTCTGAAGTCTCTCAGCCCCACTCACCTCACAGAGTGTTTGTTGTGGGGGAGGAAGGGAAAGGAGATTGTGAGCCGCTTTGAGACTCCTTAGGGTAGTGATAAAGCGGGATATCAAATCCAAACTCCTATTGCTCCATTCAAACATGAATCACACCAGCGCTTGTCCATCCCACAACACACACACACATTGGGGTGACATGGACATAAGTTGGCATTTACAGGAACTTTAGACATGTGGGAATATTTTGACATGTAGGAACATAAGAAGAGCTCTGCTGGATCAGGCCAAAGACTCACTTAGTCCAGCACCCATTTCTCACATTGACCAACTAGATGCCCATGCAAAGCCTGCCAGCAGAACCTGAGTACAACAGCACTCTCCCAGCCTGAAGGTACTCAGACTGTGACTCCATAAGTCCTATTTAATATCCCCAGAAAGGATTTGTGATGTGTGAAGCCCCCTCTGCTCAATTAGCATTGGACACCAATAATGAGCTTCCTCCACAAACTATAGGAGAAGGATCAAAATCCCCTGTAAGAATTCTAGATTTGTTATGTTTCGGAGACATAACCCCTCAAATATTTTATGAGGGGTGGGGCAAGGGACCTCAGCCCCTAGGAGCTGGCTCCTAGGGCATCTGAAACTTTGGAGAGCTGCTGCCAGTCAGTGTAGGCAGCGCTGAGCTAGTTGGCCAGATGCTTAGTGCAAAGTAGGCCTAGGACCCTTGTACCTACAGGACCACCTTGTACCTACAGGTATGCCCCACGGAGGACCTGAAGGTCCATAAATAGCAACACCCTAGTGGTCCTGGGCCCTAAGGAAGTTAGATTAGCTTCAACCAGAGCCAGGGCCTTTTCAACACTGGCTCCAACCTGGTGGAACGCTCTGCCTAATGAGACCAGGGCCCTGCGGGATCTGATTTCTTTCCACAGGGCCTGTAAGACAGAGTTGTTCCACCTGGCCTTTGGCTTGGAGCCAGTTTGATTCCCTCCCCCTCTTTCTTTTTCCTTTCTCCTCCTGTGATGAGGCTGCATTTTAATATTTTAATGTTTCAATATTTTAATGTATTTTAATCTTGTTTTTAAGTTGTATTCATTCAACTTGTTTTTATTATTGCTTGTTAGCCGCCCTGAGCCCGGCCTTGGCTGGGGAGGGCGGGGTATAAATAAAAATTATTATGATTATAAAGTAGCTTATCATGCCTTAGCCTATGTAAGATAGGTTAGGTTGAGAGATAGTGGCTGGCCCAAGGTCACTCAATGAGTTTAATGGCTGTGTGCGACTTTGAATTTGGGAAGACCCAGATCTAGTTCGGCACTCTAACCATGGCACTATACAGTAGCATGAAGCTCACCTGAGGAGGTCAAGTCTGATATGTCAAATGATATGGGAAACAAGATGGAAGAACTGTAGAGAATATAAGAGCGTGTCAGGCGGCAGAGGAACTAACCCCCATGGCAGGTTGCCAGGAATGGATAAGACAAGGTAAAGTCCTTACCACCTGCTTTTTATTCAATATTTACAGAGAGAGGCTTGGGACTGCAGCCTCTTGGAATAACGGTGTTGTCCGAAGTAAATCTCCACGCCCCTTCTCTCCCACTTCCGTCATTCATCAACAGCACCACCCCCTTCTACAGTTGGCACTTAGGGCCATCTGTCTTTGAGCTCTTTGCTCCCCTACTTTTAGGACTCGCCGGGTTCTGGGAGATGGTGGGTCTGGAATGCTTTCTAGTGATAACGTGTCAGCCAGCTGCTCCAGCTCTGCCGCCTCCTCCTCTCCCATTATTCCCCCCTCATATTCCTCTGAGCTGTGACCTCCCTCAAACCCCTGTTGTAATTCTGAACTGTCTCCTTCTTCTCTGGATGGGTCAGGCTGGGGAGGCGGTCTCCACCATTCCTCCTCTGCCCAGTCCCTGGCAATAAGGAAATCACTACTGGAATGGACTAAAGGTCTGCCTAGCCCAGCATTGTGTTCTCACAGTGGCCAACAGAAGATGTTTCGGAAGCCCACAAGCAGGGCATGAGCATAATAGCACTCTCCCACTTACATCCCCTGGCAAATGATATTTAGACATATGGCCTATGATGCTGGGGATAATATATTGCTAGTAGTCATTGATAGCTTGAGCCTCCATGAATTTGCCAAATCCACCATTACAGCCTGCCAAATTAGGGAGTATCTAGTGTTAGCATCCTCCATAGTTTGAAAGTGTGCTGTGTGAAGAAGAACTTTTTTTGGTCTGTCCCAAATCTCCTGCCATTCCACTTCATTGGATGGTCTTGGGTTCTAGCATTATGAGAGAGGGAGGAAAAAACACCCTGCACCATCCATTTTCTCCACCCCATACATGGAGTGATTGGGGAAGGGGTTGGGATTCCCTGCAGAGAGTTAACATAGAGCAGGCTTTGCTGGGTGATCAGAGAACTGGGGAGGAAAGTGGAGAAGAGGGCTTGGGATGACTAATTGCACATTCAAGTGTCAAAAGCCAAACTAGGACACGTTGATTTGCAACAAGAGGAGCTCATATTGACATCTGAGCGCTCTTTTGGCATGGGCTGTGCAACCTGCTTCTAATTAGATGGCAGAGAGCAAAATGTGAGGTTTGTCCCTGGGCTACAAGCAAAAGAGTGTTCAGCATAACATCTCCAAAGAAGAAAGGCAAGCGCATTTGGAGTGCAGGGATGAGGAGGGAGCAGGCGTGAGGAAGAACGCTCCCGGCAGAGCAACAGCGGCACATTCCTCTGATGGTAACAAGACACAGACTGGCTGCCATGCTGAGCACTTGTCATAGTGACATATTTATGGGACAGCCCTGACAGGCATCCTGGATTCAGGCAGGGAGCCCAGTTCATCTCTGCTCAACATAGCACTGGAGGAAAAGGAGAATGTAAGCTACACAGAATCCTGAGCTAGCCAAGACTCCTCTGCTTATACTTACTTATTCATATATTCATATATATTTTTTATTTAACATGATTTATACGGCTCTTAGTAATAGCAAAAAAATCTGTAAGCAGTTTACATAAAACGGTATAACATATTAATTAAAAAGAGCATCATATCCAGTATCCAGGCATTGCGGAAATCTCTCTGACTATTGAATGCTGGTATCGAGTGGTCTGGGAAACAGCCTTATTGGAAAAGCTGGTCTGCAAAATTCGGGTTTTGCAGGGACAAAACAAAAGAGAGAAATTTATTTTTGTGCAGTACAACTTTGTAACATGCACAGATACTGAAGAGTATGTTCAGGCTCCAAATAGATATTACTAATGTGAGTGAGTTCTTTCCTCCTGACCCTTCCTCTTCTTTTCTATCCTACTGGAATAGACTGGATATGTTTCATCACAATACCGCAGACCATTTTACACAAGAGGTCAGCATATAATGCATTATACTCCCCTAGTGATCAGTACAGGCTTATATAGAATTATGGTTTTAATTTTTTATTCTGATGATTCAAACTGCTTAGATACGACAACATACTTGGCGGGGCAGCTTGGAACTGTCCAAGGTCCTGTTCCTGTCTGCTGTCTAATCTAGACTGCATTCTTGACCAGATACTGCCAGCACCCTTGCAAACCCCCGTGGAACTGGAAAAAAGGAGTCAAACACTATTGAAAATCAGTT